ACATTCTGGATGCTCTAACGCCCGTCTGGTATTGCTGTTTGGGGTCGAGGCTGGTATAATTAAGGGGTCTTGGAACCTTCACCACCGGGATCGAGGCGCTTGGTCCTAGGGCCTACGCACTAGGAGGATCGCTGCAGCTGAGCCGCTGGTTCCCGTAGGCGATCCTGGCCCCGACTCCTCTGCTCGGCCGAGACATGTGAGCGGCAACCGAGAAGCCGAAGAGACACTTTGCAAAGTGACATTCGCATGCCATTTCAAGGCTAATTTTTAGTTTAGGGTTTAGGAGTTTAGGTTTCGGGCTCCGGTTACCCAAAAGTGGGTAGCTGGGCTGCACACTATATGAACAATAACTTGCAGTTTAAGCAACTGGAACCCAACTGTTGATGATATAAGTCCTGCATTACCTTAAGGACCCTAAACTAAGGGAATTACAATATATTCCTTATTCTGGGTAATGCAGGGTTTATATCATCAACCGTAGTACCACGCAGTTATGCTCAATGGGCAGGAGAGAGTCAGACCCTCTCTATTTTATTAAAGCCGAAACTACGGAAGTCATTGCATGGTGTCTTAAAGGGAAGATGCTGCATTTTGTCCATGAGCACGAGACGAACTGCGATCCAAGCACTGATCCTATCTTCCGCGAGTCGGGCCTTTTATCCGACCCGGATCCCAAGATCCAAAGAAGAAACCCCAAAGCCCCAAAAGCCCCAGAAAACCCTAAATCCTGAACCCTAAACCCTACGTACACCCTAAACCCTAAATCCTAAACCCTAAGCCCTATACCCTAAACCCATAAGCCCCACAAAGCAAACCTTCAACCCGGCGAAGCAGGCCTTGCGCTGGATCCTTATGGGGAAGCTTGGCAACGGCATAGACGGCTTCCAAACCTCCTGAGACAAACTCTCGGCGGCAGTAGATTAAAGCTCAAACACACCCGCCCACTTGCAATCCGGCAAAAACTCAAAACCATCCCAAACCTGAACTCGAATGCAACGAAAAGAGCAAACCAGGAACCCCAAACTCTAACGAACGCACCGTTTCTTTGATCTCCTCGAAGAGTGGAATCAACTCCTCACGGCTGTCAAAGACGTCGTAGTCCTCGAGGTCACGCCCCGCCATGTACGATCCAACCACCTTCGGGCCCCAGAAACTTCGTTAGTCCATGGTTTGGCGTTCGGGGGTGGGGGGAGGTGGGGCGAGACGACTGCTGCTACCGCTACCAGACACAACTCTGCTACTGCTTCTACGGTGACGGCTGCTCTTGCTTCGTATTCTGGCTACTGCTGCGACAGTAGTTTCATGGGGTCTGACTGTCCTGCTCCTTTTCAATTGTACGAGCTTCCGCAAGTCTTGGCGCCAACTCGCCACCTTCGTCCATTGGGTGCTGTACTCCACCACCAGAGGTGCCTGCACGGAGCAGGATGAGGATTTTCGTATTTATTGCAGTCAGCAACACAAAATAATCCTTGCGTGTTTCCCCGAAGCATAAGACAAGTGCTCCTCAGGTGCTGCTGCTGCAAGTAGGTGCAGGCATGACCGAAGCTCCGTTTGCCGGGTAGAAGCTTACAGGCTAAGGGCTTCCTGAGCGTAATCACCGATCAACATCGTGCTGCTGGAAGCCACACCCAAGAGCTTACGAATCGATCGCGCTACCCATGGAATACCCAGAGACTCCAATACCCCTTAATTAAGGAATATACCTTAAATTATAGTAGGATCCCTAATATGATTTAAGGTATATTCCTTAATTAAGGGTTATTGAGTCTCTGGAAAGCCACACCCAAGAGCTTACGAATCGATCGCACTCCCCACGGAATACCTTCTTCAGAGCCAGCTGCGAGCCGAACTGCAAAATCCCACACCCCCCACGACCTCGCGATGCTGGATGGTGACGGGGAATTCCACAGTGGAGTGCAGCTGCTGGGTCCAATCTTCATGGAACATGGGCACGATCAGCTGGTCCCGATCCAGAACCACGTAGTCCTGGTCCCGCCGAAGCCCGAACGCAAGATGTCCTAGCCTGGGGTGACGCGGTCAATGCGCCAAGTAACCCAAGCAGCCTGATCCCTCAACCCTTGATTCCGGCCCCTTTGGGTTCGGGAAACCTAAAGCGCGTTAACTATTGGAATTGGTACAGCCTTCTTGGTGTCCAATGTGGCGCTGTCGTTATTTAATGATGCTCTTTCGCCCAGGGGCTTATTCGCGGTGTTTACATCTCTTGCCGTCCTCTATAATGCACCCAAAACTCGCCCGGTCGTGTGCTTTTTGATGTTCCTGTCTGCTTATTCTGCGAATGGTCAATCTTATAACTGAGTGGAGGAGAACAACAGGCAGAGCAAAGTCATTTCAGCAGGCCTCCGGCCTCGTCGATGATGGGGGGAGTGTATAGGATGAAACAAAGTCTTGAACATGAAGGGTGCTTTAGCCTTGGTAGTTATCTTGGACTTGTCGGGGAATGGGCGGGGGGGGCACCGAAGACAGCAGCTAACATTGCCTTACTAATTACCAATATTATTGTGGGGGGGGGGGGGGGGGT